TGACATGAATACTGATGTCTCCATCAGTTGGCTCCTGAGGCCGCTGCTTGACTTTAACACCAACCTCCAGCTGATTAGATGCAGAGTGACCTCGTCTGAAAACTATCAGCTGAAAACGAGCTCCTTGCTGCCAACTCAATAGTCAAGACAGAGGCTGCGAGGGAAATCAGGTCGAATTAAGCCACCAATAATATCTGTGCAAATCCCTATTAACTAACTAGATGAAAAACATATTTGCGACAACAGCCCTGAGGAGTAAGCTGTGGCATGTGGATGACACACTCAGGATGGGAGTGAAAATGAGTCCAACCGAGGTGATAATCACGCCGGAGCCTTTTGCTTCGGGCGCCAACTTTCCCTGTAAGGATGCAAATTAAAGCCACATAAACCATTAGCCTCATAATACCTGTTATCACTGTCCACCTCATTAACGTTGAGTTGCTACATCCAGCTCTCAGCTGGCGGAGCCTTCTTGAACTTTCTCCTCTGCTGCTTGATGTATCTCCCGCCTCCTCTGCTGCTGCGTATTTAATCACTGAGATCAATAGCTGTTACTGTCATTGATCTTGTGAGTCTATTTCATGGGCAAGGTGGCAGCACCTCATATTTTCAGCACGCTGGAGCTCTTATACATAATGTAACCAGCCGAGGGCTGTTTTTAATTAACATTAGAACACAGTGGTTCAGAGTTAGAAAGCACTGCTCACTGCTAAGGACGTTCAGTGATTTCATGTTTTGCCCAGATCCTATGACTGAAGGCTCCCTTCTCGACACTTTTAACTCCACCTTTGCTTTCACTTCACAGGAATTTCCTGAATCCTAGCTTGTTTGGTCATTTTGCTATTAATTATTACACAGCAGCAAACATTTAAGTTTCCTGTTATTCTTACTGCTCATCCAAGATAGAAATGGTTAAATTGCAAAGATTTTTAGAATGAGCAAACTGCACGAAATCCCTCCTTCTAAAAAACTGCAACATTTTAAATATCTCTAAATAACTATATAAAATAGTATTTTCTCATAGTTAAAATAAATATGTGAAATGGATCTGTAAAGTATAAATCCTGATTTTCCACTTGAATCCATAGAGCACTGTATAACTTTTCATAATCCTTGAATATTTCATGCTTTATCCTCTCACCACTAAGAATGAGAGAGATTATTTGCATTTGCAATATAATCGCAGTTAAACAAAATCCAATTTTCAATTTGCATAGCAGACTTTCCTACTCCAGGTCTTCCGGTGCAGTAACGCACTTCAAGCGGGTTAACTGCCACACAGTAGGTAAGAAAGAGTGCAGCTTCACTCAGACAGAGTACAGTACAGCACTTATTCACACCAACATGTTCTCTGACGTTTGACTCAAAACAAACTAGCTTTCAAGGCTCCTTCCTGTGGAACCAACTACCAGTTTTAGTCCGTGATGCAGACACCCTGTCTACTTTTAAGGGTAGGCTTAAAACTGCCTTTTTGATAAAGCTTATAGTTAGAGAGGCTCAGTTTATCTAGTTAAGCTGCTATTGGATTAGACTGCTGGAGAACATAGGGGCCCCTTCTTCATCTCTCTCTCTATTTGCCCATTCTGCAGTATTTGTTAGTTCAATCTCTAATTTTAAGCTCTCTCTGCTTTTTAAAATCATAGTAGCCTTATCTGGTCTGTTCCTGTTCCTCTGCTTCTGTCTCCTTGAATCCCAGCCGGCCTCGGCAGATGACTGCAAACACTGAGCCTGGTTCTGCTGGAGGTTTCTTCCTGTTAAAAGGACATTTTTCCTCTCCACTGTCGCTACAAGAATCATTAGTGTGAGGGATTGCCTTTGAGTCAGTGAGTTGATCAAATCAGCTGTTTGTCCTTAGAAAACTATGAACCAATCTGACTGTCTGATCTTTTTGAATGGTCTCTTTAAAGTGCCTTGAGATGACATGTGATATGAATTGGCACTATACAAAAAACCTGAATTGAAATTGCTTCTGTTTCTTTTCATATGTCTGCTTCTGTCTCCTTGAACCCCTGAGTAGAATTGAGTGGTGTTCAAATCTGCATGTTTGATGCCAGTGCAAAAGAAAATCAAAATAAAATAGCAAAATTCTATTTTTATTTTTACCATTCTGTTTTTAATATTTTCAAAGTGGGTCTTTTAGATATGCTTCTTTCATTCCATTGATTCTAGATAACATTCTTAAAATCTGTAAGTACCTTGGAGGTTCATACAGGAAGAAAGTTGTGTAGAAGTTTAAAGCTGCGTTAGGTTCTAAAACAAGTGTTTAACCATCTCCCAGAGGTCTGTTTAACTGATCCACTCAACATGGTGAGCATGGAGAATAGAGGGACCAACTCCTGACATGGAGGCCCACCTAATGTGGCTAGAACATTTAACAGAAAAGCAGACAAAACGGCTCATGGTTGCACTGGAGGAGATACAGCATACCACATCCCAGATGCACCTACATGACTTGCTCTTCAATCTTAAGTTTAAATATAGAAACATTTCTCCAAATTGAACAATTACTATATTAAGGAGGGGGTCGATGATTGAAAACCCCATAAAAATGGACTGAAATTAGTTTTTTGATAGATGCTGTACACTTATGGTAAAAGGTTTCTCGGACAGAGTTGTTGCTTCAACATTAGATTAATAATTAAGTCAAACGTTTTCAAAAGATCTTCAGGAACACAAGAGTCAACATATCTTTAGTGTGTCCTCATAACTCCAGTAATTCACTCATGCTGGATATCATTTAAGGATTTTTCTATAGTTTCTGTAACAAATGAAATTGGACCAACTTTTCCTCATCCTTTCCCTTGTGACTCACGCAGTGACCAGTTTTTTAGATGTAAGCTGTTGACTGGTTATAATACAACCACCATTGTGCCCCAATCATCTCCCCCCCAAGGAGCGACAGCTGGGCTCTCAGATCAGTGTCACTGACCTTAATGGTCGACATTTATCGGGACAATCTCAGAGCTCTGTGAGAAGATGGCGAGCCGAGCTTCACACTGTGCCACAGAGACCAGTGAAGGTGACACCATTATGGTGACAGGTGGAAGGGACAATTGTAGGAACTTCTTCTGAAATAACTTTTAAGTGGAAATTATGGTACAAAAAGAAGAGGAAATATTTTATTTAATTTATCTGGCTTGGATGCAGTAAAGATAGGAGACGTTTAGGTTTTTTGGGGGTTTTTTTCTGAGCAGATCAAGTAAATTTCACCACAGGATCAGTTGTCTTGCATACATGCTCTTCAGCCTGTTGCTGTGAGATTCATCCAGACAAAATTCTATTATTATAAAACCACGGATTTAACAGGATTCAATAAAATGATTAAAGAAATTAAATATGAAAAAAACAAACCTGAAATGAAACATTTTTCAGTAAAAGCAACAACAAAAAAAGCACATTTTTCAAAAGGTTGTAATCCACATTAAAATTTTAAACCATTTAAGCAATCCCCAGAGTGGAATTTAATATAATTAAAATCAAAATATATTCTAAAATTACTTAAAATGAGGGAAAAAAAACACTTTTATTCTTGTATCTGTTAATATTTTCCACAGCAAATTTTGTAGTTTATTTACTTCTCAGCATTAGAAGAACCTTCCAAAATTGAAATTGAGTCACCAGGTACCGTATTTCCTGAACTATAAGCTGCTACTTTTTCCCCAGTATTTGAACGGGGTGGCTTAATCGTGGACTCTTCCTAACTGCCAGAGGGACAAGTCAAAGTTGAAAAAGAATGGGCTAATTTTCATTCAACACAATAACATGCTAGCAGCAGGCACGATGGAGAAAAAATGTCCCAAATTCACATATTTTGACATTTTGACAATAAAGACAAAGCCCCCTCTTTCATTCGAGGCTCTTACTGCTGTCAGCTAATAAGCTTGTCAATACCTGATCCGTGCTGAAAAATCAGCTCATTCGCACATCCAAATATCCATCCGGGTCGTCCTCGATTTTATTTTTGTTAAAAAGACCTAAAAGATATTTTTCCCTCCCAAAAATAATTAATTAATAATGTATTTCCTGAGAAAATAAATGCCTTAAAATCGTTTCTGCTTTATCACTCGTCTCTGCCCGATCTGCACCGGAAATGGGATCCTACGCTACTTCTGGAAGCTAACTTTTTTCGGCTTTGGATTTCATCATAAATCTGGTCTTTTTGAGTTTTATATTTTCCTTTCATATTAACCTTATGGTATATAGTGCGTAATCTAAAGACAGAAACAACTAAAATGCAGATAAGCATAGTTTAATCATATTTTGCCAGACTGCTCTGAGCATGTCCCGTGATGACGTCAGAGAAGCAGTTTAACGAAGAAAATGTAAGAAGCATCAAAATTGTCTCACAAAATTCATAAAATATTTATTAAAAGGATGTGTATCAGCATTCTTTAGAGAGTTAAGGATAGAAATAAATGATTTTAGTACCATAATTATATTATTTATGGACAATCGGATACATACCTGTTCGCGAATGCGCAGGACGGATCGTGCTTCTGGGACGGATCGGGTAGTGATAAAGTTAACGGGAGCTAGCATTCTTCTTCGTCCCTACTCCAGGGGCTATATGTAGAGCTCCCCCTACAGGTTTGGTGGGAGACACTTCAGTTGATAGCGGCTTATAGCCTGGTATGGCTTATATATGTACGTTTCAGGTAAAAAAATAAATAAAAAATAAATTAAGGACAAAGTTTGCTCTATAGTCTAGAAAATACAGTAATTTAACAAAATACTATTTTAAAGGAGGGATCTGCTTTGCAACCAAGATCTTGTGTTTGTCTTTTCTCCCTTTTTATAAGCGATTTTTTTCCATTCATTTTTTTTCCACAATTCAAAATGAACATGTAAATGTAAATTATGAAATGTTTTCTAAGAGAGAAATTGCACGCAGTGGGCATGAGTTTGACTTCCTTTAACCAGACCCAGGTGTATTTTTCACTATGAAGTGGTCTGCAATAATGCTGAATGTGAACTGAGCTCTTGAACTGAAGTGATCTTACCTTCTGGTCATGGCTGTAGGCCAAAGCCCAGTCCTCCTCTGTGGGGTGGAATAAAAGGCTTAAGACGAAGAAAGAGAGGCGGTACTTCTGGTAACTGGCTCCCTCATCAGTGCTGATGAGCACGCTGCTTTCAAACTCGGGATCAGTCAGCACCATAATCTGAGAGTAGGGAGAAGGAAGAGAGGAAAGAAGAAAGGAAGGATGAGTTTGGAGCAGAGAGATCGAGAGATATGGAGATGAGAGGAGACAGAAATAAGACGTTAGAAGCAGCAGCGGTGTTGGTCCTGAAACGCTCGCCAGTTTGGCACGTTTCAGGTTTCTGTTTGGCAAGCAGCTTTGCTGGAGCCCCTCTGTGGAACCTTCTGTGCTTTCTGAGGTCAAAACTCCTCATCATATTTGAATAAAATAGCACAGAAGGAAAATCAAAAACAGAAAAAAAAAATACCACACATGTTGAAGCATCCTTCAGAAACCAAGGCTTTGTTACAGGCAGATAAAACCAAGCTGACGTCTGCGCTAATGAGCGATTTAACAAGCATGACTGACTCTAAACACACAATAACTTATGGTCCTTAACAGTTTGTACCACACAATGTCATTTGTTAGCTTTTCCTCTTCCAGTACGATTCTAATTCGAGCTTTAGCAGCTCAGCAGGGGTTAGAAGCCGTAATTTCATGCATGGATTGTTTCTGCTGGAGCCGTCACAGTTCTAACCCAATTCAATAAGAAGAGGAACTTTTACCGCATATATCTTTCAGCTAATGACATTTAGAGTCTTTCTGGAAGCAGATTAAATGCTCACTGGAATTTTGCCTTGAATTACTGGAAGCTGCTCAAAGTAGCTGTAATGCATTTTATTTTAACAATACTGCATTGAAGTTGATGCATTATCTTAAATGGGGCCTCTATTAGTTTGCTGCCTTTATTTCACTGTGTAAGCTAAAAGTCTTGTGAGGGATTTGCATTGTTTCACATGAATAAGTCATCATTTAATGTCTATACAGGTGCTGGTCATAAAATTAGAATATCATGAAAAAGTAGATTGATTTCAGTAATTCCATTTAAAAAGTGAAACTTGTATATTATATTCATACATTACATACAAACTCATATATTTCAGATGTTTATTTTGTTTAATTTTGATGATTACAAATGACAACAAATGAAAATCTCAAATTCATCATATCAGAAAATTAGAATATTGTGAAAAGGTTCAAAATTGATGGCCCCTGGTGCCACACTCTAATCAGCTAATTAACTCAAACCACCTGCAAAAGCCTTTAAATGGTCTTTCAGTCTAGTTCTATAGGCTACACAATCATGGGGAAGACTGCTGACTTGACAGTTGTCCAAAAGACGACCATCGACACCTTGCACAAGGAGGGCAAGACACAAAAGGTCATCGCTAAAGAGGCTGGCTGTTCACAGAGCTCAGTGTCCAAGCACATTAATAGAGAGGCGAAGGGAAGGAAAAGATGTGGTCGAAAAAAGTGTACAAGCAAGAGAGATAACCGCACCCTGGAGAGGATTGTGAAACAAAACCCATTCAAAAATGTGGGGGAGATTCACAAAGAGTGGACTGCAGCTGGAGTGAGTGCTTCAAGAACCACCACACACAGACGTATGAAAGACATGGGTTTCTGCTGTCGCATTCCTTGTGTCAAGCCACTCTTGAACCACAGACAGCGTCAGAAGCGTCTAAAGAGAAACAGGACTGGACTGCTGGTGAGTGGTCCAAAGTCATGTTCTCTGATGAAAGTAAATTTTGCATTTCCTTTGGAAATCAAGGTCCCAGAGTCTGGAGGAAAAGAAGAGAGGCACTTCATCCACATTGCTTGAAGTCCAGTGTAAAGTTTCCACAGTCAGTGATGGTTTGGGGTGCCATGTCATCTGCTGGTGTTGGTCCATTGTGTTTTCTGAGGTCCAGGGTCAACGCAGCCACATACCAGGAAGTTTTAGAGCACTTCATGCTTCCTGCAGCTGACCAACTTTTTGGAGATGCAGATTTCATTTTCCAACAGGACTTGGCACCTGCACACAGTGCCAAAGCTACCAGTACCTGGTTGAAGGACCATGGTATCCCTGTTCTTAATTGGCCAGCAAACTCTCCTGACCTTAACCCCATAGAAAATCTATGGGGTATTGTGAAGAAGAAGATGCAATACACCAGACCCAACAATTCAGAAGAGCTAAAAGCCACTATTAGAGCAACCTGGGCTATCATAACACCTGAGCAGTGCCACAGACTGATCGACTCCATGCCACGCCGCATTGCTGCAGTAATACAGGCCAAAGGAGGCCCAACTAAATACTGAGTGCTGTACATGCTCATACTTTTCATGCTCATACTTTTCAGTTGGTCAACATTTCTATAAATCCTTTGTTTTTATTGGTCTTCAGTAATATTCTAATTTTCTGATATGATGAATTTGAGATTTTCATTTGTTGTCATTTGTAATCATCAAAATTAAACAAAATAAACATCTGAAATATATGAGTTTGTATGTAATGTATGAATATAATATACAAGTTTCACTTTTTAAATGGAATTACTGAAATCAATCTACTTTTTCATGATATTCTAATTTATGACCAGCACCTGTATATCTTTTAAAGTCTTTGTGCAGCTTTAATTCTTCCACATTTTCTTGGGGTTACGTCACATTTATGACTGATTTATCCGGGTTTGAAGTGATTCACCAACACAAAGCAGAGTGTAATTATAAAGTGAAAAACAAAAAAAGAAGGCTGTAATTAGCACACTCAATTATCGACGCCAAAGAGCAACTTTTAGCAATGGAGCCCAGAACTAAAGGATGAAAACTCTAATCCTGACTCAATGCTGCTGAAGCTAAAAATGCAACGCCTTCACTCTTATAATTTTTAAAGAAAACCTGTAAGAGTATGTAAATGGAAAATGAAAAATGCATCTCAAGTGACTTCAGATTGGTAGAAATGATCATAACAGCACTTTCATGATTATTTTTGCAAGAATGAGAACACAGTCAAGCCCACGTCTTGTTCTACCTGTCCTGCTCTGACAGAGATGTGAACCTGTTATAGCTCTTTTCACAGCTGAAGGCGTCACTAGGAACAGTTTGGAAAATCAAAGAGAAAACAGCGCTTGAATAATCAGATGTACTCTACACTGGACAGAGACTAAATGCTGGTTATACTCCTGCAGCAGGTTGTCGCAGTGAGCTTGTTGGAGGTATTATGCAGATATTTTTTTCATTTATGCCCAATATTGAAGCGTGCTCTGCGCTATGTTATTCCACGCCACAACGCAAGAGGGACAATCAGGGACTAGCTGTGGGTCTAGATACGGCCGAGGAGGTGAGGAAGTGGGGGCAAGTTTATAAGACAACGGAGGGACATGTGGGTGAAAAAGAGTGGGGATCCAGGTGGAAAAAGGGTCCCAGCGTTCTTGTGCACCTCGCTCTTCTAGCTGGTCCATCTTCACGAGTCGTTTTCCACAATAGTGGTCATACAAATAGAACAAACAGGAAATACGCATAGAGTAGAGCGGATGTAGATTTGACCAATCAGAGTCCTCCTTTACAATTTTGGACAGGTGCACCTTATGCTTAAAAGTTAGGAGGAATCTCTCAGCTAACAAATAAAAGCACTGCCTGTGAAGGCGATGGACATGACACAATTAGCAGCAAGTTAGCAGCCTCATTCTTTGACAATGAGGCTACCGTCCGCCATTACAATGGTTTCATATGGCAGGCTAGTCCTGCTCCCAGGGTTAAAGAACAGTGGCTGATTAGTTGATGCTTGTTTGGAGATTTTGGTGTAGCCACTTAACAGGTTAACTCTAAAATTATTGGAACTATTGGAACTATTATTGGAATTATTGAGAAAGATATTGAAGCACACATATTGTTGTTCTTAATTTTAAAAAGGCAAACAGGTGAATGGATGAGTTTAGTGAAGAAAGTGAAGAAGAAAGATCTTTAAAACATGACTTTCCCATGACATTGATGTAGAAATAAAATACCTCTTCCTTTGTCTTAGTAACTGTTGACTTTTAACCTTTCCTTTGTGGTTTGGTGTCTGCAGCGGTTTGCTTTTCTGCTTGCGCACTAAAATAGGTTTAACCCAATAACATGTAGCCCAGAGTCCTCATTAGGGCCACTACCAATTAACATCTCTCCTTAGTCATTGTCCGGTTGTGTTGGCTAAATAGCTGTTTTTTGTCCTTCAGGATGGAGTCTGTTACGTTCCTCCAACCTCCAAAAACCGTTCGTGTAGTATGATGGTGCGGTAGTGAAGCGGGCAGACCTCTGACCCGAAACAGTTGTGTTTTTTGTATTAATTTATTTATTTTTAATTACTAAAAATAAAATAATAAAAATAAATAAATAAAAAAGAAAAAATAAATATAAGAAATAAATAAAACAGTTGTGTTTTCTCTCGTCAACTCCATTGGAATTGGAAGACCAGCAGCACATTTGTCACCGACAGAAAATCCAGCCCTCCTTCCTGAGCTGTAAGCAGGAACTCTCCCTGGTGGTTATTTAGATAAATTGTTTTTCATTAAGCACCAATAAACAGGCAGCACTTTCTCAATCTGGCTTTCTCATTGGCGTGGGCTCCCCGATCTTTCCATTCATTACCTGTCACAGGGCAGCGCCCATGCTCCTGGTATCTGTGAGCCTCTCTGGGGCTTATCAGATGTAATTTCCAGCTTTTAAGCCGTAATCATATTCGATAATGTGGCTGTAAGAGGTCCGCTTTGAGAGTCGGCCATCAGAAGTAAATGTTAAAAGGGAAAAAAAATGCAGAAAAATGTTCACATAATCTTAACACTTCATATTAAAAGGTACTTCTGCTCTGTACTGAAGCCTTGAACTAAGAGGCTATAGTCCTTACTTTTATCCTCTGGCAGCAGAGCTTTCATCTGATGCGTTTTCCTTCAGCCTTTGAGTTGATTTTTTTTTTCCTTTTGCATAACTAGAAGCAGCTGCCAGACAATATTCCTACATTTGCATTTATTCATTTAGCAACAAGGAAGTGTGAAAACATTATTTCCCAAATTTACACCCGGTGTTTGTTAAAAATCTGTCTGTCGCCTCTGTGATTATAGAGCCATTTTCAAAGCTGCAAACAAACAACTTTAATGTATTTCTCACAGTTTTTATGTGACAGACAA